CCCCCCCCCCCCCCCCGCAAAAAAAACCCGATGTCTTTTTGACATCTTTTTGACTGCTAAAAGTTTAGGGAAATTTTGTTTTTTAATGTTGCATGACTCTACCGAGCGGTTCGCAAAACTTCAAGGGCGGTGCTCTCAGCCTCGCTTACTTGTCTATATTTCAAAGGAGTTTTCTCAGAAGAGACAAAACTAACTAACAAAGAAGGAAAGTATATAGTCTGTATGTGAAGCTGGGTGTCTTTCTGGAAAGGTCCGGCTTGATTGACGGGAGTCGGTGTAACCCATCTCATGTCCAACATTAGTAAATAAAGTCACCCCATTTACCCGCTCCTCCCAAAGCCTTCCAGGAGCCTAAACGTCAAAATGCGTTCATGACGTCCAACTTTCGTTGTTACTGATGCACATGAATTTTAAACATGTTCTAAACCAAAACGAAAGGAGATAATCAAGCAGCTGTTATTGAGATTGGTAAGAAGCAGAATTAACTCTCTTTTCAGCTTCCTTCTACTAAAAAACAAAGAGGAGGAGGAATTTAGCATCCAGCAGAGCTTACTCTGTTGGCCGTCTTGAAAATGATCCTCAGAGAAGGTCAGAAGGCAAACTTGGGCTATAAACAAACATGGCTGGTATATTTCAGGATTCAGCATGCACAGTGGCAGATGGGGGCTAGGTGGTTGTGGTGAATTTCATCGCGTCCAGGAAAGGAGGCGGACAGGAACATAGTTGCTTTCTTTCTTTCTCTCCCCCCGCCCCCCCCCCATTGCTAGGTTTAGTCTGTAAACCAACAGCAGTCAGCAATAAGCGATGACTAAGACTAATGACTTAGGCGCGGGGACCCAAATCCAGAGGGCTGGTACGCTGACACCGCCAGAGAAGGAGGGGCCTTTCATTCCAGATAATTTAACCAAAATAGATGCCAACTAACCCACCCACAAGCTTCAGCTCGACGTGCAGAAACGACTCCCCGGATTTCTTCTGACTAGGAAGCTGAACACCAGCAGGGACTCCGTAGGCAAGGATGGGAAGCGGGGCGAATCTGTAGGTCCCTGGAAGCTCTGCAGAATGAAAAGCGGGTGTGTGTGTGTATGTGTGTGTGTTGGGGGGGGTGGTCTTGCTCTACGCCCTCTCCTTTAAAGACACAATACGGGCACCCCCCTGTGGAGTCCAACCATTCAGGTTCTGGGAGGTGAAAGGGGGTGCACTCGTTTTAACTCAGCCTCTCCCAGCCTGGTTTAGAGGTGTGCTGAATGACTAGTCCCATATTCCCTGGCCACATTTCAACGTTACAACCAGATTGACTAACGACAATTGTTTTTTAAGAAGTCTGTCTGCCCAGCAAGTGTCCAGCTCTAGTAGTGTGTTCAGTTTTTCGTTCCTTGAGTCCGTTCGGGGTAACAGTCCAAAGATGAAGGTTTGTTAGGAGCATCTCTACGGCCATGCAGAACGTTTCTGCATCCGTGCGCCTCGGAGATTACACATCTCTCCAAGGGGCTGTTTGAATTGTCCCTTATCGCGAGCCATTTTTTCTATTCTAGGCATCTGCACTGGATCTATCCCGTTTGGAGCACATACGAGGCTCATGTTTATTCCATGTGTATATTTGTGCTTTGAATTCTTCCACCACCACGCAGAGGGGAAAAAAGAGGTTTTGAGTTTGGCCTCCACACGATCGCAACAGCGACCCCTTGTGCCCGAAAGGAGAACGGTTCTCTTGATCCGAGAGCAGAAACCAGGGAAATTCTGATGGCCTTTCCTATTTCCACAAACAACATTAAACGCTCTGGAATAATGAGACACCTCATTCCAGGGTCGCAGGAATGAAAGGGTTTTATGAGTAGCAGAGAAGGGTGGGGGGTTCGAAGCACTTATTTCACGACGCTCGATCGTAATATAAAAATCGACGGGCGCTAAAATATTTTAATACATCTGCGAATTCTCTGTAAAGCCTTTGCGATTTTTTGTTTTGTTTTGTTTAAATTCCGCCTGCCCGAAACATTGCATTCTTTCCGGCTGAAGCGAGCTCGTTGGATAGGAGGCGATTTTTCAACTTCTCCCGGTTGTAGTTCTCTCCACCTTCCGATTGTCATTTCTGTACTTTGAAGGGCTTATTCTGGGAAAGGAGAAGAACCTTGGTGGAGGATCTTAGAGGATGAGCAAGAGCGGAGGAAAAGAGGACGGAGGACTCGGGTCTCGGCAGGACGATTGTCCCCCCCTCCCCCGCCTCCTCCCCCAATTGCTTGGCTACTGTTTTTTCCTTTTGCCGAAGGCGCCGAAAGAATTTTAGTGCAACGCAACGGAGCACGCTGGTCTTTTCGGGGAATAAAGTAAAAACATACATAAATAAATAAATAAAGGTTCAGAGCAAATGAAAATATATCTTGCTCGTGATGGAAGACTCCGGAACCAGACAGATAAGTACATAGAAATGCTGGATATTAAATTAAACGTTCTTTTCCTTTCTTTTCTCAGCGGCTGGGGGGAAAGATTTGCGCCAGAACGGAGGGAAGCATCTAAAAGCCATTCGCCCCAGAAAAGACCCCCTGAAGTCCCTTTGGCTCCTCCGGACTAAAAAGAAGACTTCATCTTGCTACAGAGATATAGAAAATCAAAACTAGCCAACCAACCGGATTTTTTTTTGTTTTTGTTTTCAATGACCATATACTTGCGAGTGAGGGGGGGGTGGGCATGAATGCGTGCTACTCGATGCGATTCTGTGCTGTGAAGGGGGAAATCTGGAGGTTAACTCTCCCTGTTCCACACAAATCATCTCCTTCCTTCTTCCTGGTAGAAGAATTTTCTTACAACGGTTTGGCTTAGGAGGAAGGACCGCAGTGAGAGCCCGGGTCAAAAACCGCATCCTCTCCGCATCTCGAATTTAAGGAGGAGCTGCAAGTTAGAGAGAAATCAGAAGGACAGCCGAAAACTTGGGGACGGGACAAAGCAGGTTGTTGGCTGTGACTGAAATGACACTCGGTTGTACTGATCGTGGACAGAGAAAGACCTCAAGCGGATAAATCTAAAGGAGAATTTCCTTTAAAT